CCGCCTAGTTAAACAAAGCCTTGCAGATCCAGAGCCTTGGTGGCTGGTGGCACCTAAGCACCGAGTGCTTTCCCGCAATTGTCCCCTGCTCTAATTCCTACTTTCCTGTTTACTTCGCCGACATTCAGTTGTCCTTGCCTCAATTCAACTGCACCTGCATCACTGCGTGATGGCTCTATCTGCAAGTACCTCTGAGGTAGGATGTGGCAATTTGTCTTGGTCCTCCCATCATTCTCGTCTGCCATCCAACTTCATTCACCACATCTTAGGCTACAGCACATCTTAGCTCGAACATTATCCGTTTCCTTCTTGTTTGTAATATTTCCAGTATTCTGCTCCAGCATTACTGTTGTTCGCAATGGCATTTTCTCATGCCTCTTCCCACTCACAATCCTCAACCCAGCCTTCGACTCCTTCAACTCTGGAATTACCCCCCGAGACGATGGATTCGGAGCCTGTCCTGGTCAAAGAGGGCAATTCTTGGGTGCTCTATGTCACCGATAAGGCACCAAACCCCGACTCTATTCCTGATCTTCAATGGGACCAGTGTTCGACCATCATTGTGCGAATCAATCCATTGCCAGACACACCTCCAGGAGCCGAATACCCCATGATAGACTTCAACCACGCCCCAATTAGCCTGGCAAACCTGGTCGAGCGAGTTGGACAAATTTCTGCCCTGATGAGGAGCAAGCTGCAGGATGATATCAACGCAGGCCAGAAGACAGTTCAAGTCGTTTTTGGGGAATGTTAGATCCGTTCTCGCGCAAGCAAGAATGTATACGTGGCTGCGCCCATGTGGCGTCTCCGCGACCTCGCCGAAATGATGGCAACCTTCCACTGGATTGAACCCGAATCGACTCACAATACTGCCGCCCTGGCCACTCAGGCGAGATTGCTGACCCCGCCCTTTATCCTGCCCCAGGTCTGCGTCTCCTGCCTGGATCGTGACAACCCGAGCGAGCGCAACCCTCCACACGAGGAAATGGTTTGGTCCCGATGCCACGCAGTGCTCCAAGATTCGTACAAGGATGGATCACTCGCACTGCTATTTCCTGGAGCGACTGGAGTGTGGAATTTTCTCGGGACTCATCTAATGAAGTATGCATACGTTGTCAAAGACTTGGGCGAGGCTCGTGCGGGAGAGTCATCGGTCATTCCAGCTTCTTCGGGCGAATTGAAGCTCTCTGATGATGTGATCCGCAATGGGATGAAGGAGATTCAGCCAGACCCAGAGGAACAGCTTTACAACGAGGAACATGGCTGGACCCTTTCTTGAAAGGTATCATGATCATTAGGCCGGCGCATTAGATCGGCCATTTTCACGTGATTGGGACTTCTGGTAGGCACTGCTGGGAACACGGTCGTTGAAGGATTAGTTATACAGAAGTCATGCTGCTATTGGAGGAATGGGGGCAAAGTCAGTTGGTCAGTTAGACAGATTTCGCCATCAGCCTTATCGAAGTCACTGCTTTCTGGCTCAGATTCTATCAAGCTTCTCATGTTCAAGTATCTTGCCCAGTCCGCATCTACAGGAGCTCATCAGGTGTTTGATGCTGATTATCTTCGGCTTCCCTCCCCATCACGCTGTATCCGACACTTTCAGAATGACGCGATCTTCCGGGCCCTTCCGTCTCTTATTGTGCTTCCTGGAGCTTGTTGACTGTGATCCCTACCGAAGTTAAGGCAATCCCTGCCAACCAAAGCTGCACTTGGTCAACCTTGGTTAGCGACTCGGAGCCGAAAAGGCGGGGAGACCCTTGAAGAAGAGGTGGTGAGGCTGGACAAAGGGACTAGAACGAGTGGCCTGAGGGTTACCGAGTACACCTCAGCCAGCCAGTCAGCCAGCTTGGACCACGGACTGTATTCCGTTGAACCATTGTAAGTGGCCCGGCGGGCTGTTGCGAGCGAAAAGGGTCATGGTCAGGTGGACTTTCGAAGAGCAGTTTGGCAAGAAAACACAGAAAGAAAAAGGTGATCACGAAACGAAACGAACGTCAGCCCCGCCTTCCTCAGCTCATGCATGTGTGTCACAGGCATTTCATCGTTCCATACGAGGCTTTCTGCCCACACCCCTGGCGTGCGTGCCCGTGGCTGCCTGTCTCTCCAGTGAGTGAGCGAGTCTCAGCTACAGATTCGGCAGTGGGCGTGGGCGTGGGTGTTGGCTGCTCAAGGCGTGCAAGCAAGACTTCCTCGCGTGAGTCGCCCCGAGGACAAGAACATGGCAAGCGAGCGAGTGAACGATCGGACGATGTTTTGTTGAACCAGCCAGCCAGCCCACCGCATCTTCAGCAGTGCACAGGCCTCCCGTTTCCCGGCATGATGAGCATGAGCATGAACTCGAGATGCATGTCGAGACCTTGGCGCACATTGCGCAAGTATCCTCGTCGTTTCGAGCTGGAGATCGAACCACACTTGTCCGGACGTCAGCGCCCCAGTCGGTGCTTGCCTTTGCAGCTCAAAGTCCATACCGACGTGTCTGAATGGCTGTTTTCTCTCAAGGGGGGCCCCTTGGCCTGTTGACGAGCTGTGCATTCTGGACGAATCGAGGACCGCGAGCTCTCAGCTGGAGGGACTCGGTATACAGCCCACTCGTCGTTTCTCACGGTGCTTGGACTCATCAGCTGAGCCTGATTGACCTGAGAGAAGTCTATAAAAGGTGGGAACTGACCCAGTCTTTTCTCTCTCAACTTCTTCGCAACCCTGTTCCTTATTGAAGCCCTTTACCTCGCGTGACCCATTGTTCCCAAGCATCCCTCGACTCTCGGCAGACTTAGACCCAGTCCACGACCACAATATCAGCAGCAGCAGCAGCAGCAGCAGCAGCAGCAACAGTGACAACGCGATACAAGATCCAAGATGGTCCGCCTCCGCCTCACCAACAACCAGACCGGCCACGGGGTCAACGCCGAGATCCCGCTGCTCAACCACCAACAACCCATCCGGGAGTTCTACCCGCTCGACTCGAGCGGCAAGTTCCTCATCAACGCCGCCGAGCTGACGGCCGATTTCCAGGGCGTCGAGGTCGTCGTCAACGCCGGCGGCCAGTCGGTCGTGCTCACCACCAACCAGAACTCGAAGCAGTTCAACGGCCTGGTCGACGCGGCCAACGGGAGTATTTTGGCCAGGAAAGCCTGATTTTGTGGGAGAGGATCACTGATCAATGAGAGGAGAGGGGATCTAAAAAGGGGGAAGGCGGAAGAGAGGGCGCGTAGGTAATATCATAACGAAAAGAGATGGTGATATGTTTGTGGGGAAGTGAGAGCTGAAAAGCAACATGGTCGTAACGAGTACTTTTGAGAAAGATTCCTCGAGAGATGAGGATGGATGGATAGGGATTTTTGAAGAGAGATGAAGAGACGGAGAGAGAGAGGCTCGGAGTGCTGTTAACGGGACTTGCAACTTATCACTCATTTCTCTTCTGCTGTCCAATAGGCAAGAAAATACTCTACCTATCCTACCTACTTACTTCCTACATCCCCCTCTCTCCATCTCTTTCTTCGACTTACATGTCCCTTCTGTTCGAGTCTATCCCCATTCCATTCCCATCGCGATAGACCTCCTTACCTTCCAGTACAGGTACTGTCCATGCTGATCCTGCCTTGCCCTGTGCCTCAAACCTTTGCCTTTCTTTCCCTGTTCCTTGACTGTTCCTTGACAGGATTTGGCCTTTGTTTCTTTCGTTGTTGAGGTGGTAAGAGTAGTGAGGCCACGTCGTAGAATGATAGATCCCTAGAGTGCATCTCCACACAAACACAATACGTATACACACATACACGCATACACGCACACGACAGATGCCATAGCCATATGCCAGCATTACAGCCCGTGGTGAACCAGCAATGATAGCTAGTAACAGCGTGGCAATCAAAGGCAGTGCCTGTTCCAGACTCGGTCTACTTACTTCCTGCCTCCAGGTCTCAGCCTTACCCTCGCGTGCCTGTCCAACTGTACTGCAAACCCCAAAGGCGTTGCAAAGTGGCACACTCAGCTTCCTCCAAACCTGTGTGGCTTGATTACTCTGGCCTGGTCTGGACTGGTCTGGTCTAGATTGGGCTGGGCTAGCCTGGTCTGACTTGGCCTGGCGAGGCTGGTTGTGCACAGACGTGACGGGACTGTGCACCGCAGGACGGCAGCACGGGCACGAACATGCAAGAGTAACATGGAGGTAACATGTACACGTACACGCGCAAGTACATGAGTGCGGGCGTGAGGGAGTGGTGATGATGAATCAAGGCAAGGCAGAATACCGCCAATGCATACCAAAAAGCAGGCAGAGCTCTCAGCCTCGCCTCCAAGACCTTGTCCCGTGCATGTTTGAAGAGAGCGAGGTTCGTTGCTCGAAGGGACTTTTTGCGGGAAGTGGACGGAGGGTCCTTGCCTTTTTGTCGCCTCGCGTTGCCCCAGAGGTCGATGCATACCTTCCACGGACCAATCACTTACAAACCACTGACCCGGTTCTTGCGGCCTGTGCTGGGCCGGGATGGGATGGGCTGGATTGGGCCAGACTAAGTCGGTCCTCCGTGGCCCAGGCATCTGTTGAGTTTTTTCTTTTCAGTCGAGTGAAGAGGCAATGCGGTTGCAGGAAGCGAACAAGACCTGGGCCGGTCACTGTGCAAGGTGCAAGTGCACGCGCTGTGGTACGGGTGCTGGTATGTGGCTGGCCAGAGGATGTTGGGCGGTAAGTAGCCAGGATGGTAATGATGCTGACGACGACGAGGACCATGATGGGGATCAGAACCGGCCAGGAAGGGAAAGACGCGGATGGCGTAGCACAACATGACCTCTCCAACCCGACCGGTGAGGTGGGTTCATCTACACTGGCACTGTCGCTGGTGGGTGGACGTGGCGATATCTCGCACAACATGAGGCTGAGAGCCGTCCACCCGTCTTGAAACCCTGACAAGAATCCGCCGAGGCCCATGTCGTTACACAACACAAGGTTGGTGGCTCATCCCCGGTCCAGACTTCAAGGATAGGGCAAGTACATACCAGACATGATGTCCCTGCGTCTTGTGGATCCACTTTCTGAGTTCCACGAGGAGGCGGAAAAGGAGTCGGACGACGACGACGACGACCTGATCCGTGCCACCTACCCCTTTGATACCGGTCTGGGTCTGGAGCTGGGGCTCTTGTTGCATTTCATGCACGACCTTCCCCAGATTGGAGGGGGGTTGGTTCGTCAAACGCACGCAGGGATGTAGGTAACAGAATCCACAACGCAGAGAGAGGTTGGGGAGTAACACGACCACAACATAGAAGTGCAGGACCTCAAGGAGACAGAGAGGCGGGGGAGTATCACGGTATGCACAGAGGGGACCCTGCTGCTGGTGGTATCCAGCTGAAACTCGGATTCGCCGTTCTTGTCCCCCTTTTGTGTGACAATCCTCATGCCACGCAGCAGCACAAGCAGCAGGAACGGCGACAACAACAACAGAACCAGAACCAGAAACACAAGGTCTGAATGCAGGCAATAAGGACAACGGCCAAAAAGTTAGTAGATTGTGTATATGTAGCCCTACAGCATGCAGGGGGGACACTGGCTGGTCAATTGATGAATAGCGGTAACAGTAGTAGTAGAGAAAGTGACGCCGCTGCATGGACAATTCTCCCTTGCTTACTTTCCTTTTGGCCTGTGACGGTGGAATATATGTCACCTGCCACCCCCGTTTGAAAGGAAGTGCACTTGCAGTTGCAGTTGGACTTGCAGTTGTGGTTGGATTTCAAAGTTGCGAGGCATCCCAAGAGCCCGTTCAACCTTGTGGTTTCGTTGCAGCGGTGGCTAGCATACTGAGTGTCCGTATGTGCCTAGTCAGTCTCGACCTGGACTTGTACTTGCACGGTGTTGTTGATGGGACATGATCCTCAGACCAGATTCAGACAACACAGAAACCACTCCCCATTTGCACTCGGACTGAATCCGAATGGGATAGCGGTGGGATTCTTGAACCACTGATTGCAACACCAATGTCTCGGCTCGGCAGGATAGAGAGATACTAGAACACCAGACTCGGCCACGCAGGCCGGTCAGAAAGATGGCTTCCAGCCTCACACTGTTCCACTTGAAGCACTTGGATAGGGGTATCGACGGCCTAGATGGCGACAGAGAGACACAAGGCCCAGCGGTGATGCTCATGGGTGATGCACTTACCGTACATCTCTGCTACCCCGACTCGAGTCGTACATACATAGCATAGACCATGCCTCTAGGGGAAGAGGATGAACATCGTCCTACCTTCCACCTGCCTGCCTGCCTGCCTGCCTGCCTGCCTGTCATTCTCCTGTCAATCAGAAACCGTCAGTCATCGAATGTCAACATGTCAGACAAAACCCAGATTCAAAAGCCTTTGTGACAGACAGAGGAGAAGCGCTTTGCATGTCAGAGAGAGAGAGTGTGTGTGTGTGTGTGAGAGAGTGACACCTGAGGTAAGCGAGCACGAGACGTTGAATCCCTCGATAGGCAGAGTCATTGCCGCCATGGACCCAGCCACATCACCTCCGCATCATCAAGTCAAAGTATGTGTTGGGTACGACTAGGCGAGTAGGCGAGTATGCGCTTCGATCCATCTCTCGAGCTGGCTTGCTGGCTGACCAGACGGGAGACACTGTGTGTGTGTGAGAAGTGTAAGCCGCAGATTTTGCCATAAGTGAACCTTGAGGTCACCCCCCTTTTTTTTACGCTGGATCCTGTAAGATTTTGAGATCCGGATCCATAACCATAATCGTATCCAAATCCAAATTCACCATTGCAGCGAAATAGGTACCAGCTAATCAACAGTGCTGTTTCCCGAAACCCAAAAGAAGGCCCAGAGACAAAATGAGACAGAAGACGTTAATTAGCTGGCGCTTAGCGACAATGTACCTACGCACTCGATACGAGGCAAGTAGGTGGGCGGATGCTGTAGATCCTATCGCTGCCCTTTTTACCTTTCCACTTTCTCCCAAATCTCGAGGGACGTATCCCTGAGTCATCACAGGAAAAATACATAATGAACTCAGCCTGTGAGGACGAGTACGAGTACGACTAACTTGCGAGCTGAGTGAGTAGTCAGCAAAGTCAGTCAGTCAGTCAGTCAATCAGTCTATGTACTAGGCAAGCAGGCAAAGTGCATGGAGTATAATTAATTATCCTGTATACCACTTTCGGCAACGCCTGATCCTGATATCACTTCGCTTAGTAGGCAGGTAGGTAGGTAGGTATACCCACACCAATACTGCGTGGCGAGTCCTTGGATAGAAAAGAATCACTGTGGCGCAGGGGGGATGAACACGACATACCTATCTTGTGCCTGCCATGAATGCGGAAATGGCAGAGCGCTTGTGCCAAATATCAGCTACCTAAGTATACAAATAACTCGGGCAGGACGAGATGGTGTGTGAATGAGACACATTCACCCACACCCACATACGGAGTACACATAGCGAGAAACAGGACACAGTGATTGCTAGGTACTACTACCATGTGGGTGAGCAGTGGCACAGTGGTGATGGTGGTAATGGCAGTCGTTATTCTGACCTCAGCCAGCCTGGTGTTGAAGGATCGTCCTCTACATACCTACCTACATACCTCCCTCCCTTCCTAGTTAGGGTGCTACATCGGCTGGGAGGCAACGCAGGGTATATACCCAACTCGGTACTGGTACTGGTACTGGGTACTACCAAATCCCAAGGATCCTTCGGAACATTACATGTTGGTGCTTGTGCGTGCCTGTTCCTGTGTGTGTGTGCCTGTACCTGTCTGGAGCCGCCCGCCTCACCCGCTTTTTGCCCCTTTTTGCCCCCCCTTCCCGCTTTTCCTACTGCGTACCTACCTTCTTACCTGCCTGCGTGCGATCGCCTACATTGCTTGATGGGTGAAGTGGGTGAATGATAGAAGGATGGATGGACGGTATGGTACGTAGTGGATACACAGATGCGGCGTGGTGCGGGTGAGATTCCTTCCCATTCCTTTCCCACAACTGCGCGTCCCTACGAGGGCGAGTAGCTACTGGGTACCTCGTACACATGACGGGTTCCTACATACTTGGTCTGTACTACCACTACTACTACTACTCTTTGGCGGTCCCCGTCCGTCAGCATATAGTTTAGCAGTATACTTTCCCCCCCCCCCCCCTTCCCACCTCCAAGGAGAAAAATTTTGTTATCTGTATAAACTCCACTCGCTTACTGCCCTTGGGTGGTTCCTCGCTCCCACATTTCCCTCAGATTTTAGAGGGATTGTTTCAGATGGATTTCAGGTGAATGGATTTTGTGGATTTGTGGATGGGCACATTTAGGTGTGGGACGTTAGAGCCGGTCGTTGTGGGTTGCCATGTGGATGCAATGGCAGTACAATTGTCGTCGCAGAACGTACGGAGTAGAAGCGGTCATCCATCATCCATCAAACTATAAACTATCAACTATCAACCAAATCCATGGTGGCGCGAAAAAAACAAGAAAAATACTGGGTAAGAAAAGAGAGGAGAAAATTAAAAGGGGGAAGGGGATATGTGGGTAGGAAGTGAATACTCGTAGGAAGTAGGATCCATGCTACCAAGTACCAAGTACCAGGTCAGGTAAGTACCTAGTAGATATCAACAGGGGGGGTACTCGGTCGGTAGAGCGAGATACTGTCCTTGCTGCGAGTAGATGTTGTTGGGACGATTCGAATCCTTGTACCGAGTATTGGGGGCCTGGGGGCCAGGGAATCAGGGGAATGCCCACCCACCCTGGCGCCTAGACAACCGTACAAGGTACAGGCGAGCAGGGTACAAATCCTCGCCTATCGATAAGCGTATCGATATCGATACTTTTATCGATAGCGATAGCGATAGGCAAGGAGGGACAAGACATGCATGCACGCGAGGGGTAGGCAATACAGATTACAACTTACAAAGGCCCGCGTTCTACATACAGATAATGTAGGTACTCGGTCAGCCATGACTGATTTCTTAATTTCTGTCTCAACAAACAGACAGCCTCCATTCATCCATTGTTCCTTTCGGTCTCTGACCATTGACCTTTTGTCCTCGTGTTCGGCGAGACAATTCATGTCGCCGATGCAGGAAGTAAGAACTCGGAAAGCAACTTGGTGGAGATGAAAGCGCCCGATCCCTGCACGTCCTCAACAACCCCTGAAAGACTGAAGACGAACGAAACCCGTCCACGCACAATAGCTAAGGAAATGCTGGAAAGGGGAGCAGGCACGCCCAGCTTGGCCGAAAGCCATGCAGCCGTGCCGCCAGCAGCCATGCAGTGTATGCTTTGGTGGCGCTGTTCTTCGGCCTTCCCGCTTCCACACCTACCAAAGCAATCGAGGCAATGGTCAGATCAGCCGCCTCAGAGCTTAACTGCGCTGACGAGTTAGGTACAAAGTACCTCGTATACGCACACGTAGAACTGTTTGCGCCCTGTTGACATCGTCCTCAAGTGGCATCATCACCCAACTCTGTAAGCGAAGGGGCTCAGCCCTATTCTCCACATGGCCTCTTGAAGCCTCTTTCGCTCCAACCAGGCATGGCGATTACCCGAAGCTCTCTCCTCGTCTTCCCTCTTCCGTCTCGGTCCCGAAGGGGGAGTCTGAAACTTCCCATCGACTCCTGGAACGACTTGGCTGCATGCGAGGGAGAGGCAAGGCCAGAACTCGCTCCAATAGACGCATTCCTGGCCCAATTCAGCAAAGTCATTGCCCGGGAGGCACACGGCACAGAACGACGCAAACCACGTGGATGGGGGCGGAGTCGATTCCTCACCCACAGAATACCAAATAGTCGTTAAGGTCGGCCGCGTTCTTGCTCGGGTTGGTAGTAAGCTTCAAACCACGAGGAAGAGGTCGGAATAATGCTGACCTGACGAATGACACTGGCCAGCAAGAGAGCGAGATTGTGTGTGTGTGTGTCGTAACCCCAGAGTTGCGTGTTCTTGTGTGTCTTGGTAAAGGGCTTGGTGAGTCGCCTGACCAGTCAAACATTCTGCTCTTCACGTCATTATTTACCCTCGTCCTTCCCCAAAAAGTCACGCCTGTCATCGAGTGATCTCTCTAGTGATCTGAGGGATTTTGCGGAGGGGGGATGGGTAAAGGTCTTCGTCACACGAGCCGATTTTCCAAGAGGGAGGCCTTGAGCCCTGATTACGTCTCTCGATCGCAAGTGGACAAGCTCGACAATAAGTCGGATGGGATGGGCGCAATGAGTCTTCGATGCGAATCGCCCTGCTCAACCAATGTCAGTTGCAGGATGCAAATCACTTCCTCGTTGGATATTCGAAGGATTCTTCTAGCAGAGAGAGAGGATGGCTACTTGCTGTGACTGGACCACAAGGAGACTTTCTCCAGCGGTTGTTGCCCCGCGATCCGCCGCCCTTGACACACGTTTGACAAGCGCCCTTTTTGGTAGTAGACTTGGTAGAGAATTCCATGACCTTCCTTCCTTTCCTTGACCGGCTTTGGGCAGTGGCAGCCCAGAACGGACAAGGAGAAAGGATCCG